GCCGGTGGATCCCGAACGGGGCGCGGGGGTGGTCGGAGAACCAGGACACGATGGAGCGGTGCCGCTGCTCCGCGTCCCGGGGGGCTCGGGGGGGGGCCGGGAGGGGCCGAGTCCGTCCCGAGGGATCCTGGAGCCGTCCCGGGGGGTCCCGGACCCGTCCCGAGGGGTCCCGTGTCCCCCTGGAGGACTCCGTGTCCATCCTGGGGGGTCCCTGTCCATTCTGGGGGGCTCTCGTCCATCCTGGGGGGTCTTGGCTACATCCCAGGGGGTCTCTCGTCCTCCCGGGGGACCCAGTGCCCGTCCTGGGGGTCCCGTGTCCATCCTGGGGGACCCTCGGTCCATCCCGGGGGGGCCGTGTCCGTCCTGGGGGGTCACGGCTCCTGCGGGACCCCCCCGGTTCCAGTTCCAGCAGCGCCTCCGGCCACATCCAGTCTGGAATGGAGGGGAGGGGGCTTCGAGGAGCGCCCCCCGGGTTCGGGGTTCTCTCCCGAGGTTCAGGGTCTCTCCCCATGTTCGGGGGTCTCTCCCCAGTTCCGGGGGTCTCTCCCCATGCTCGGGGGTCTCTCCCCATGCTCGGGGATCTCTCCCCAGTTCCGGGGGTCTCTTCCCATGCTCGGGGATTTCTCCCCATGTTCGGGGTCTCTCCCCAGTTCCGGGGGTCTCTCCCCAGTTTAGGGGGTCTCTTCCCATGCTCGGGGATTTCTCCCCATGTTCGGGGTCTCTCCCCAGTTTCGGGGTCTCTTCCCATGCTCGGGGGTCTCTCCCCATGTTCGGGGGTCTCTCCCCATGTTCGGGGGTCCCTTACCCCGGCCCAGCAGGTGCAGCAGCAGCCCCTGGCCCAGCAGCATTTGGGCGCTGCGCAGGGTGCAGCCCCAGCCGCAGTCGGAGGTGCGGGGCGGGGTCCCGGGCAGCGCTGGGAACCCGCTGCGGTACGTGAGCCACAGGCGGGAGCAGAAATCCCAGCGGAACCGGGCCAGCTCCTCTGGGGGGGGAGAGAGGATGTGGGAGACCCCCCGGACCATCCTCAGACCCCCCGGAACACCCCCAGATCCCCCAGACCACCCTGAGACCCCCCAGACCACCCCCAGACCCCCCCGGACCACCCCCAGACCCCCGAGATCACCCTGAGACCCCCTGGACCATCCCCAGACCCCCTGGACCATCCCCAGACCCCCTGGACCACCCCCAGACCCCCGGGATCACCCCCAGACCCCCGAGACCGCCCTGAGACCCCCTGGACCATCCTCAGACCCCCAAGACCATCCCCAGACCCCCTGGACCACCCCCAGACCCCCGGGATCACCCTGAGACCCCCGGGGGTCCCGCTCACCCCCGTTCCCCGGTTCATAGACCCTCCCCAGCAGGTACAGGGGGTCCCGCGGGCTGAAGTGGGGCCGCGGCCGCAGCGTCCAGCCTGGGGGGGGGGAGAAACGTGGGGGTCAGAGGGGACCCCCGGGACCCCCGAATCCCGGGACACCCCCACCCCATCCCTGCGGTCCCGGGAGCCGGCATCCCACCGACCCGAGACCCCCGAGACCCCCGTTCCCCTGCCCGGTGTCCCCGTTCCCTGTTCCCGTATCCCCGTGTCCTGTTCCCGGTGTCTCTGTGTTCCGTTCCCCCGTTCCTGCTGTCCCGTTCCCGGTATTCCCGGTGTCCCCGTGCCCCGGTATTCCCGGTATTCCCGGTGTCCCCGTGCCCCGGTATTCCCGGTATTCCCGGTATTCCCGGTGTCCCCGTGCTCCGGTATTCCCGGTATTCCCGGTGTCCCCGTGCCCCGGTATTCCCGGTATTCCCGGTGTCCCCGTGCCCCGGTATTCCCGGTATTCCCGGTTCCCCGTTCCCACCGTATTTGACGCTGTTCCAAGCCGCCAGGACTCGGCCCCGTACGCGCTGCCCGCCCCGCTCGGAGCCGGGGGGAGGTCCCGGTGCCGGTGCCGGTCCTGGGGGAGGTCCCGGTGCCGGTCCTGCTCCTGCTCCTGTTCCTGGTCCCGGTGCCGGTCCCGGGGGGGGTCCCGGTCCTGTTCCTGGTCCCGGTGCCGGTGCCGGTCCCGGGGGGGGTCCCGGTCCCTCCCCCCCCCGGCTCATGGCGGCGGAGGCGGCGCGCGGGGGGGGGGGCGGGGCCCCGGAGGGGGCGGGGCCCAAAGGAGGAACGATCACAACGAGTGGGCGGGGTTATGTAAATTAACCGCGCTGGGGGCGTGGCCACAGCGAGTGGGCGGTGCCTGGGAAGCGACCCGGGGGGGGCGGAGCCGGGGACGTTTCGGGGTCGCTTTGGGCGTCCCCAAATTTTGGGTGACACCGTGGAGGTCACGGGGACATGTCGGGGGTCACCCCGGGAGCCACAGGAAGCCCCCGGGTGACATCGGGG